ACTGTGGATAGATACTGAAGTGTAAGTTATATCTGTTTCACATTCATGATTCAAATTTATTCTCTTCACATTGCTGACCTGACAATGTCTAATAGAGTAAAATAATACCAAAAAAAAGTGGCCATTTTTCGCCAGTTACCAGGTATGTGGGACAAAAGAAGGCCAGTTTAAAGGGGCCAATTGCTTTAAAAATGTTCCCTAGCTTTTTGCTGCATAACGAAAAGTATTATAGAATGCCAGGATGGAGGAGCACTCTTGGTTTAAATTTCTTTCTAAGGTATATATGCCATAACAAATTTGTCCTAATTCCAAGTTGCATGACATATTTGAAATAAATCTAAATTTACATAGGAAAGTAAGTTCCTGATGCTTCTACTGCAATACAATCTGATAATATATGAAACTTGTGATCTCAATACAATCTATAACAAGTGTGGCCTTCTTTTTATTTTTATTTTTTTTTTGGATATGTAACATATATGTCTTGTTATCCAAGATTATTTGCACACTTGTAAAAAAATATATTAATATGTTAAAGGTAGACAGAAATGATAGAAGTATAGAACCATCCTCAAGTCCTTTGTTGTGAATCATCTGATTCAGCTCCTAAACATAATTGAAGTGTCATTACTAGAGCATCCCAAGCGCAGTTGACGCAAAGGGTTATTGCCCAGGTTAATCCATGTAGCTGCATTTTGGATCCTAAGTTTCTTGATTTTTACCTTTCTATGTAGTCCACGATGTAGAGTCTGCTGTCTCTGTCCAATTAAAGGCATCATAATAGGCTTGCTGGTATGTTAAAGGTTTTACTACGAACTATTCGTCACCAAATTCTCATTTTTTCTGCCCTTTTTTTTTTTAAAACAGCCAGTTGGTGTGTGGCTCTTAGGTTCTGCCATTTTTCGTTGTATCCTGGTTTATATGCCACATAAGCGCCGTCGAGTACGAAAGAGTAGCGGTAAGACCTTCCTCGACATATAATTTTGGTTTCAGTTGCTATTATTTTCAGTTTCTATCCATTCGTTAATGATCTCATACTATGTTCACCCAAAAATTGTGCACTTGGGCTTGCTGACAGCTTTGAATGCCTATTTGTCTTCATTAATGGAACCAAATTTACTACCATTGCGTATATTTCACTTTTATGCAGTCCAGCAAGCACATTCCGAGAGCGGTTCAAACGATTTGGCTGCTTGTGCGAGAAACTATTTCGTAAAGGTATGCAAACGGTTCCTACTATGAAGTACCAGCACCCATTTGTCTCTATTATGTGTTTCCTTGTACAATCTAAATGTTATTTACTATGGATTATTCTGGTTTATTGCATTAGATGAATGATGAATCTGAAGTGGCCGATTGGAAAAATCACCCTACGCTTGAGTCAACTTTCGTTGCAACACTTGTAGAGTGGCACAGGAATGGTACTTGGGACAAGCACCAAAAGGGGAGGTCAAACTGGCACCATCTTAGCCTACACATGAACGACAAGTGCCACGTCAATTTGAGGTGGGAACAGTACCGTTCAAAATTCTATAGGTTGGAATCCGAGTGGAAGTGTTTCGTCCGCTTATCGGGGATGTCCCAAACCACGGCTGAGACGGGAGTTGGGTTTAATTCAGAGCTTCTATGCTTTCAGGCTACGAAGGAAAAATGGAGCGCTCTAAAGCGGGTAAACTTTTTCAATGTCTCTATTAATTGTATCTCAAAATGCCCTTAGGCTTCGATAGATATGTTTCCCTGTGTTTTTATGTGATATATTATGGAATATTGAGCCGTCACTGCTTCAGGGTCGCTGAAAGTTTGACTTATGTAATATTTGGTCTAGTGTTTTATGACTTTCATTGCTGCCGCACTAGGTTGATAGTATTGATGTGCACTTTAAGGCTTCCCCCCTATGTTTGGAGGCTACTTTATTAATCTTGTAGAGTACTATTGCCCCCTAAATGTAATTGAGAGGGGAGGACAAATTCCTATGCATTGATTAGGTTGGTACAGTAATAATTTAAGGTGATTATTGGGCTGGTCTGTGTAATTTAATTGTGGCCGACTTATGCTTCATTGTTGGCCTACGTATCTGATACTACTGGCTTGGATTGACTGCTGTGTAATGCTATAGGTATATGTCTTTCATTTCTGGCCTTATCACGATTGATTGCTGGCCTGGTGATGTGTAATCTCTTTATTTGAAATAACAGCTTAGTAGTACACAACAAGAATGCTTTTTATATAAACCGTATCAGCTTGTCCAGTTGAACTAGTTGGCATTTCACATGGATTGCAGGAAAACAAATTCTATGGGAGGTTCAAAGAAGGCCGCAGCTGCGGTTGCTTCTATGAATTGGGAGAAATTCTAGAGAGCCGAACAGCCACCGGAAAGCATGCCTATTCGTCTGCTCAGAGTGATGTCCACCACTCTCCTTATTCTGCTGAAAAGACCACCGCGGCCGCATCAAGGCGTAAGGGGAAGGCAAAGGTTGATGGACCAACCTCAGACTTTTGGGGGGAGGATGTTTACATTCCAGTGCGGGATGAAGAAGTTGAATTCGTTGCTAGTAGGCCGGGTAAACGCCCAGTATCGAGTCGGGGGACATCATCCTACGATGGTTCAAGGAGCACTAAGTCTCAGAAGACCGGGGAAGCTCTACGAGACGCAGCAACGAACATCGGCAAGCTGTCCATGATCAAAATTGAGGAAAACACTAGACGAAATGACTGGTGCATAGCGGCGCTAAAAGTTTGGGACAAATGCTACCCAAGACATGAGCCCGTTGAACTGTGGTCCCGGAAACGTCTTGCTTGCATGAAAGAGTTTGAAAATTCCGAGAGGTGGTGCCACATGTTTCTCCAGTCGGATGAAGGCTTCCAATATTGGTATGCTGATACCATTCTTGATCCGAAATAGTTGCTGCATAGGCAACTATAATTGGAGTTTCGTTTATGGTGCCTTACTGGACATCTAATGGAAATTTGGCTGGGTTCTATAACTGTGTCTTGGAGGACCAATTTTGGATTGCTTGTCTATGACTAAAAATTCCCAGTCTTGCGGATATTATATGTACTTTGCTTGACAATTGACTTAGACTTGGATTAGGTCTGTATTTGAGACACTAACTTTCCTGCGGCTTATGAACATTCTGTATTGCTTCGCTTTGAATGCCTATTTGTCTTCACTTTCTTCATTTATGTGGAATTTTCTTCATTTTCTTCAATTATATTAGCTATTAAAAATGTTAGATAGTTTCTTTATGCGCAGGGAGTCTGGATGGCCCCTTAGTTGATTGGCATTGGTTTATTGGCCAATTGATTAATGCTGGCTTTAGTGGTTATTTAAATGCTAGCTATTTAAATGCTGGTTATTTAAATGCTGGCTACTCTTGTGGTTATTTAAATGCTGGCTTTAGTACAGCTCTCACATTCTGGTTCGTTTCTTATTGTTGTGAATCAAAAGCAAGCATTTGTATATATGTATATATATAGGACCAATATTTATAAATATAAAGTTCCTATGCCTTAACATGTCTACGCAGCTGTGTGTATAAAGTTTGTACATTTACAAAAGATAGATTCCAGCCGGGATTTCAATTCAATGTGACTACAATGGTGCCTTATTGACACCCACTAACTGACTACTCTTTTTTTCAAATAGCATATGACACTACTCCTCTCATTCAAATACTACAGGCCCACGCCTGAACATGCGGGCAGCATTTCACATGGACTACTACTATGCTAGATTATTTTCCTTCTTTTGATTGCTAGGGGATATTGCAGTGCTTGGCCGATAGCTTATTTGCAGGAAACGGCACATGGGTAACACAGTAGTTCACGGGATATTCGGACACGCCTTTAACATATTCAATGCCCCTTTAAGTCAAAATCACTGCTGTCTTCGCGTGCTTATTTGTCCGAGCATCAGTGATCTATCAATCAAAAATAAGCTACGGACATGCAATGCATTATTTGGCTGCAGCTTTTTTTTATGAACAAGTGGCTGCAGCTATTTCACCATGTCTACAGTCGATAGATGAAATTGGTTGGTTTCCATGAGAGCTGTCAAATTTCTATAAAGCCATAAGTTCATCAGTGTGTACAAGACTTCCTATATCGAACTACTAGCTTCAGAAACCGAGGCAGTGTTGAAGCCATAGGCATTCTGGTACATCCCCGGCTTTATTGCTCCTGTAACTAGCTCTTGCCATAGCCCAGGTATAGTAGCTAAGCTATTAAAACTATTACATTTGGTATATTACTGTAAAAACTAGTTGTGCTTATTTTTACTATTAAAAAATATTAGCCTAATGGTATATTAGGTAAGTTCTTAAAAATATTAGCTAAGGTATATTACTATATCAATTACTTTTGCTTATTTTTACTTTTAAAATATATTACCTAAGGTATATTAGGTAAGCTATCTTTTAATAGTAAAAATTACTTTTGGTTATTTTTACTATTAAAAACTATCAATCAAGGTATATTAGCTAAGCTATTAAAAATATTAGCTAAGCTATCTTTTACCATAAAAATTACTTTTGGTTATTTTTACTATTAAAAACTATTAGCCCAGTCGTATATTAGCTAAGCTAAGATATATTACCTAAGCTATTAAAAATATCTTGCTAAGGTATATTACTATAAAAATAGGATTTTGGTTATTTTTACTATTAAAAAATATTAGCCTAATGGTATATTAGCTAAGCTATTAAAAATATTAGCTAAGGTATATTACTATAACAATCAGTTTTGGTTTTTTCTACTATTAAAAAATATTAGCTAAGGTATATTACCTAAGCTAGGGTATATTACATTTCTAAACTCTTAAAAATATTAGCTAAACTAGACAAATTTATTAGCAACAGGTATATTAGCTAGGCAATAGGTATATTACTGCATGAAATTTGTTGATGTTATAGCTAACTTTGGAGTCATCCGTTCAATAGATTAGCTAAAGTTTCGTTTGGACAGGTGGTGTACTAGGTTTCATCGACAGCCAAAATACAAATATGGATAACAGTTGGAATAATTGGGGATCGTCTTCGAATAATGCTGATGATGATGACGACGACTGGCAACTCATCCAATGGGCGACGGTTATTCTATTCAACCCTGTGGCTGAACGTCTAGCAGGATATATATTGCCGGGCGTATGTGGCCGAAGTGATTAATGGTCATCCTGCAAGAGTACTTGAGAACTGTAGAATAACGGTGGATAGCTTCATGCGCTTATGTGACATTCTTGTGAGTGGAGGATATGTACCGCAAAATCCCCAGAAAAGAGTCCTCATAGAGGAAGCAGTGTGCATGACATTAGTTATGTTAAGCCACAATCATCGAATGCGGTGCCTGGCTGAACGATTCCAACATTCCCCGGAGACCATCTGCCGGAACATTCATGAGGTGTTACGGGGGCTTTGTGAGTTGGGAAAAATTCTCATTCGTCCAAGAGGACATAACGAAGTGCATCCTAAGATTTACACTGATCGGAGATTTGCCCAGTGGTTTACGGTAAAATAGTATAAAGTATTGCTTACCCTTTGGTTCCAACACGCTGTGCATTAATATCCAATTATCGTGTCAAATTTCATTATGCATTTACCAACTAACTAGCTTATCAAATGTTCAAGAATGCTATAGGTGCATTAGATGGTACACATGTTCCAGCACATCCGCCACCTGGACAGCAAACGGCGTACACGAATAGGCATGGACAAGCAACTCAAAATGTACTAGCCATTTGTGATTTTGATATGCGCTTTTCATATATTTATGCTGGTTGGGAAGGAAGCGCCCATGATGCACGTGTCTTGGACGGAGCACTAACAGGACCTACACATTTTCCGATGCCCCCTCCAGGTGCATGACAATATTTTTATAAATTTTTGTCCAATTATGTGCTTGGCACTGTATGTGAGTGAATGACTAAAGAAATCGTAGTGTGTACTTACTTATTTTTTACCTTTATTCCACTTTATTTTGTAGGAAAATACTACCTTGTGGACTCGGCATATAGAAATGTTCCTGGATTTCTTGCACCTTATCGTGGAACACCTCGACAACCTGCACAGGGTCGGCGTGGGTGTTCCTCCCCGAAGCAACTTTTCAATACTCGTCACTCATCACTTAGAAATGTAATTGAGAGATGCTTTGGGGTGCTTAAAAGGAGATTCACCATCCTACGCGGTCCTGTACCTAATTTTTATATGAGTACACAAATAAATGTGGTGATAGCTTGCTGCACTCTACACAATTTCATACGGGACGAATTACCAGATGATGACATATTCAATGATCATGAGCAAGAGATGGATATCGAAGGAGAAGGTGGGGTCCCGCCAATGCCAGAAATTCAACCCCTAAGTGCCTCGCAAGAAGAGGTCAATGAATGGCATGAAATGAGAGATGCAATGGCAAATGGAATGTGGAATGCGTATCGGAGTGCGAGGCGAAGGTGAGGGATTAGAAGCGAATGACTACTGTGTGTTACTACTAGTGTGATGCGAATAAGGTTAATCCAAGTACTACTGCATCATTTTAAATTCCTCAAAATTTGCTTGTTTGTGTCATGTCTGTATGTTTCCTAATTCCTTTATGCTTGCTTCACAAGTGTGAGACCACGTCTCTGTATTGAAAGTACTGTAATCTATATTTAATTTGGTATATCATAATTTTATGAAGAACTATTTCGTCGCCGCAAAATAAAATCACATAATATCAACTTTCATTCAAAGAGGTTGCAATTTGAGGTGAATAATGTGATATAACCAAAAAAGCGGTGTTTAGAAAAAATTTAATACTTGCAGAATAGAATATATATTATCCAAACGCGAATCCTATATTGTATTCTCATTAAATCGACTATCCATACGGGATTGAGTTATTCTTATTCGGTCAGACTATTTGACCGAATAATCACAAATTATTCAATGGAATACTCATAATCCATACACAACCATAGTTAATTTGGGAAAGTATCTAAATACACAAGTGCAATAATTATAATTGTGTGTATTCATATAATAAATTAGGTGTAATTCAAGTGTATTAACGAGTGTTGATGGCTCCTGTTAGCTTAATCCTTTTTTTAAAAAAAATTTGAGAAGTACGTGTCTACCTAAAACAAATGCACCAAAATCTTTGTATTTGGCACACTCTTTAGGTAAGAGGTTTAGTGAAGTTAAAGAAAACAAAAAAAGAGGTTTAATGAAGTTAATTGCAATTCAATTAAGAGCACATAATGTGATTATATCGAGTTTTTGAAACATCCAACTTCTTCCACAAATCTAATACACATTTTGCTTAATGCATCTAGAGTTCTCAAAATAACATTCATTGAAGTCAAAGAAAAATACAGATCCATTTTGTCAATTAAGAAACAAAGAAAGTATACATATGTTTGCTAACTAACAATTTAGGCTCCATTTAGATTTAAAGTGTTTTTGAAAAATTATTTTTGTTTTTCAAATCTATAGAAATGAACTCTAAAAACAACTCCAAAAACACAACATCTCAAATATACTTAAAAATAACCAAAAAAAAATCCCACCTTTCTTCTTCCACACACTACGCACCACTACCCATTACCCTCCACCACCACCCTCCCTCCTCCACCACTGCCACCACCCTCCCCTTTAGATTTCAGGTCAAAATACTATTGAGATTGCATGACGCATTAGGAAGGAAAGTATATTATATCACACATACATTTTTAATCACTAATATCATTCAGACTTCAGATGGACACAATTGGGATGTGTATGTTGATTTTTACACATTTTCTATGTACAAGCTAATACTTCTTGAAGTCTTTCAATACCAAAAAAATCAGAACAATTGGTTTGATATGATAATACTGCTCATGAAATCCTCTCACTAGCAAATCAACCGATTTTTCTTGTTGTCATAAGGAATTATAATATGTGATAAAAGAGTTAATAGAAACATAAGAGAGAAAAAGGATCCCGACATTATTACTTTAACATTAGTATTCATCTTTCGATTGGGATGAGACGAATATAAAATTGAAATCCACCATAGTTTAATTAACCACAAATATAAATAAATAAATAAATGACAACATACGAAAATGGAAAGAAAGAATCAATAAATGAGATTAAAAGTAATTGGTAAGTATATGAACAAAGGTTCCCAAGAGAACTAAAAACAAAATGATGTCAACATGAAGAAGATATTGTTCCTTGAGTTGACCGAGATGGTAGAATTGGTGTCATGCCTTCCTGCTAGTTCGGGTTCGAATCTCTCTTGGGACATTCGCGCGTTGCATAGTTTAGTGCGTCTTAACTCTCCGTTTGGTTCGTGTGCTATTGCATGGGGTGGATTTATCTAGTGCGCATTCTTGAATAGCAACTGCGGGTTGCTTATCAACAAAAAATAAAAAATAAAAAATGAAGAGTATATCCATGAATACTTCATGATGACATCCGACATCATCTTTTCTTATCACTGGAATTGATAAAGAAATGTGTGTGCGCTAATCCATACAGATTGACACATAAAACAGAATACTTTTGTTTAACTTTTTTTTTGATTGTTTCAAGACCTCAACATTGTAATTTAAGTTGGATTTTTAGTGATACGAAGATAATTCTAATTAAACAAAAGATAAATCCAATTGTTATCAATACACTTTTATGCATATTGGTTACCTACAATTTTCTGTCTTGTACGCGTTTTGAAACTTTTATTGGCCCAACTTCAACTTACATTATTTTCTGAATGCTCCTCCAGATTGCCAAGTATATTTTAGAAGAAAATACTGGCAAAAGTACAATTTGGGCCATAACAAATTTTAGAATATTTTAATGCAAAATAAATAAGCACTTTTTAGTTCTTTGTTTTTTGACTGAGAATAATTAACGAAAATCTTTAGCAAAATTGTCATATTGTCTTTTGGTTGTATCTTCAAATTTCTTTAGGCAACTCAATTGGATACTGTCTAGTCTTTTCCTGAAACAACGACCAATTCGAATAATATTTCTATCGATTTCTTTACACTTCATAATTACGTTCTGCTCTTTATTTCGACTATATTTGATTGTGGGATTAATGCCAAATTTTCACCCCTTACATATTCAACAATTTTCACTTTACACCCTGCCCTCTTATTTTTGAATATTTTATTTTCCGCACTCTTAATTTTGAATACTTTACACCTTAAAATCATTAGAATATGCCATAGTACACTCTAAATTCTGTTATGGGCACATTGCACCCATCATCAAAATATTTTTCCTGTACTTTCATTCATAATATTCAAGATTATAGTAATTTGGGATAAATTAGAGCACTGTGCTGTAATGTGTTGAAAATCACTACAAAAAAAGTATTTTTTATGACAAAGTTTTTGTGATTAGTCCTTTATCCTATTCAGATATAAGAAGCAGTTTGTGGGGGAAGAGGTTAAGTACTGATAAATTTCTTCTACCTCATGGAAGGGTAAATTAGTGATTTAGGATTGGTTGCTTAAATAAATTGGTTTAGCATATTGTAAAACGGTTTAACGCATGGGAAAATGGGGGAAGGGGGAATTGTGTTGGATGGTAAGGTAGGAGGGATTGTTATTAAGAGATTCTGAATTCAAAATTTCTCACTTACAAATTTTTAAAAAAATATAATGCATGGAAAAATGGTAAATTACTTTCTCAGCCTTTTGGTAAGTTTTTATAATTATATTTTATCATTTAACTGACTTTATACTCTTGGACTTTTGTTTGAAGAAGTTGCCTTTACTACAACCTCATCAATAAATCATTTACTGGAAGTGTGACACAATCGATAGGGTGGGAGTTAGTGGAGGAGTTCAATCTCTCAGCCATTACCAGAGTAACCTCCATTGGTGAAATAATTCTCTTCTGCCCTATATGTTGTTGAAATAATTCTCTTGTACCTCTTACAAGTATGTTGTTTGCTTCGCATTGGATAAGAAATTGGGAAGGATCGTAAGTAGGAGATATCAGATTTAAAACTTTTTATTTAAAAAAAATTAAAAGAAAATGTAATGCATAGGAAAATGGTAAATTGATTTCGCAGTCTTTGGGTTACATTTTTATTCTTCAAGTGGACTTTATGCTCTCCGGCTTTTGGGCTCTTTATGCTGTTAGGCTTTTTGGCTTTTGTTTAAATAAGTTGCCTCCACTAGGGGTGGACATGAGTAGGGTACCCGCCCCTAACAAGATATGGCTGATCCGATCCTAAAATATCGGATCAGCTATTTTGTGACCTTAACCCGCTCCTAATATTGAGCGGGTATTCGAAAAAAAAGGGCGGGTCATAGGGTACCCGCCCCTAAATAAAAAAAACTATTTCCAATAAAAATATTTTTCACTTAATATCAACATGTTTTTCAATCAAAAAAAGCATGCTTTCCAATTAACATTGATAGAGATATTATAATCAAAATCCATACATCACCATTCTCACACATTTCATCCAATAATCAAACTGATTTCATAAATTTAGTACATATTATAATTATAATATCTAATAGATAAAACGAAATGTTATGATAATTTTGAGTACATCACCATTCTCACGCATTTCATCCTTCTACAACATAACAAACACAAGGATAATAAGTATATGACAACTTTTCCAAGTATAACAAACACAAGGATAAAACGAAGTTTTATGATAATTTTGAGTACATCACCATTCTCACGCATTTCATTATTTTACAACATAACAAACACAAGGATAATAAGTATATGACAACTTTTCCAACTTCCTTAAGGATATTATGGTACAAGAGTGCATCCAAAATGAGTCAATTGTGGAATCAAGTTCGAAAAAGAATTGAACAGAGCTAATAATTTTTGAAGAAAGTATAACCAAAATAATCTTGAAAAATTTTCCCCAATTGTCTTACATCTTTGGAATAGACCTTGTTGCATTAAAGGTGATGAAAAAGAAAAATAAATTTCTTGCACTAAAATAAAGGAGACAAATTTAAGAGACACAATTGCAATAAAATAAATAAATAAATGAAAGACACAAATGTTTTAATTATCTAGCTAACAGAAAATTGGAGCTCCAAACACAAATTTTTGATTGAATTGATGAAAAATTTGCAGGAAAGATCGATGGAAGTAGAATAAAAATGAAAAATGATGAAAAGGATGAACAATTTTTATGATAGAGTTTCACAAATTTTTCTTTGTTTTATTCATTTGGTTCAGGTTTCACCAAAAATATTCATTTTTTTTTGACAAGATGAGGAGAGACGAATCATATGAGATTAAAATATGAGGTTGTGAACCAATTTACTTACACTTAGGATTAAAAATTATAAAATTATATAATGAACCCTTATTTTTTTAATATTTATATAATATACCCTGCGGGTCGGGTACCCGCGGATTTTTATTTTGTTGATCCGTATCCGTATCCGTTTTTGCGGGTACTCGACCCGCATCTGCCCCGCTAAGAAAAATCGGAT